ATGGGTTCTGTTACTGAGGAGGACTTGACTCCCCCCTGTGGCCACTGAGCAACGACTCCTGTCAGAGTGGATTCAGATTTGTGAGAGGTTTAAGAACCCCTGAAGGTCTATCTAAACCTCAGTTCTGAGGCAGCCATCATACAGAGACAGCTCTGATGGCATCACGCCCATCACCACAGATCAGCTTCATTAGCTCGTGTGTCTAAGTCTTCAGCTCAGCCTGCAGCCACTGAGTTGATGTCTGCTGAATGAAAACTGTTCCAGGCTGGGTTTTTTCTCTCTCTTTCTTTTCTTACTGCTCTTAGTTTGTCCACATCTGTGTGACTGGGCAGAAAGCTGAATGTGACGCCAGACTCTGCCGGGCCCCCGACCTTGAAAAACGGCCTTCTGGCAACAGATCTGTTTCCTGCATTGATTTTTTATTTTCATGGCTCGGTTATTTGAGTTTCTGCCCTGGAGTCACAGCTGGGCTGCCACCAAGGTCAGCTGGGGAGACGTTCAGAGGCATTTTGTTTTGGTCCCCATCAGTTTCATGCTGTAAGTAGATACAGTATGAATGTGTGGTCTGAGTCTGTGTGTGTGTGTCTATACTGATGTGTTACTGCCTCAGTCGTTTTATAGCCTACTGTCATATTTGCTGAAGGAGTGATTTTCTCATATTTATGTATGAATTCATTCTTTATAACTTCATTTATTTTCATTAAAGACTAGAGTATGCCGTCAGCCCCACCCCCATGCAGGACTCCGGGACCAGACCTTCCTTGTTCATCTCTAGCAACAACAACAGCAACAGTTGACCTGTGTGTGTGTGTGTGTTATATCTTCATTTGGTGGAAGCACACAGTCTGTAAGAGATGGATGAGATTAGTCCAAGACAAATCAAGTTCTGATCCAGGAGCAATGAGAGAACAGGCCGCAGACTGAACAATCACCGGGAACCAATCAAATCCATAACATGATGAAGCGACCTGCTCTTCACCCGATCTCACTAACCCAGCCTACATAAATCTTGATAACACCAACTGGAAGGACTGGAGCCACAGTGGAGAAGCTGACCTACCTCTGACCACCAAGAATCACCACAAGAATGCAGCCCGTGTTAACTCCCCCCTCTACTTCACCCATACTGTTCACTCTGTCCACTCAGGCCTCGGTTTTCCACCTGAATAACATGCTGCCAAGGCTGCAGTCCACAAGCATGGTGAGAGCAATTTAGTTTAACGTCCAATGGTCGTTATATTCCCCAAAAGTGCACTAAAAACTGAAATATATGGTTAGAAATTAAGGCTGTAAAAATGAAGAGTTTTAGTTTGACTGAAACAACTCCAGCTTAAAATCCCATCTCAGTTCCCAGCATGTGTTTATGGAGGCGTCAACCTCAGGTCGGACCAGCCTGCAGCACCCCCCAAAACAATATGTTTTCATATTTTTGTTTGAAATGAAATAGAAGACTCAGAGGAAGTCAGCCACCGACGACACCTGTTCATTTTGAATCAGGCGCCGGTGCAAACGATCAGCAGGTCTCCAACCAATCAGAACGGCTTTGAGGTAATAAATGCAAGGTCAATGTATGAAGACACTGACAGCCACTGGAACCACTAACACTAGTCATCACGGGTTGAAAATGAACATGCATCAAAGGGTCTGTGTTCACAGACCAAAGTGAGTTATTCAACTTATGGTTGATAATAGGGTTGATTTTCTAGCAAAGGTCAGAACACAGCGTCCCGAGGCTGTGAACAACGGTGACCAACTGAAAACCACGGTTTCTCACTGACTCAGCACTGGCTTTTCAAACAATAGATCGCTCGCTGCTCGTTATTTTCCCTCCAGATTCTCCATCTCAGGATTCATGAGAAGACGTCCCAGGTGAAATGGACAAGACAATGAAATCCATTTTGACAAATTATGGAGCGTCATTGTTAGTGTGTGTGTGCTGACGGAAGCACAACAGCAAATGATGTTGCTTCAATAATTAACAAGACCTGAACCTTCAATCTGTTCAACACAACCACACACAACAGTCGTCATCGAATGGTGTCGGATTATTTTCGTGAATATAAATGTATAACGTCGACACGTGACAAAACGAAAAACAAACGGCCTTCAAGTCCAGCAGTCAGGAAACTGGATTGGTGAGAATCCTTTACTTGGTTGTAAAGGATGTTCCTGAGGTGGACAGCTGCAGGAGTACAACGTGCTCCTAGTTAAACGCTGCTCCTGGAGGAGGATAAAACTCCTGACACAACTTTAGGGATCAAAGACAGGCAGCAGAATATCTGGAGACGTGGGATTAACGCTGCTCTGGCTCCGGTGGAGTTGGAGCGTATCCCTGGAATATCATTTCTAATCTGAGCTTTCTGTGGCAGGAGAGGATGAAGTAAGGTGAGGAAAAAGGAATAAGGAACAAGGAAGAGGAGAAATCAAGGAGAAGAGGAGGAGAAAGAGGAATGGGTAAAAAAGAAAGTGAAGAAAGAAGGGAAGGAGGAGAAAGAAGAAGTCTTCCGACACGCCTGCCTGAAACCTTTGCACATTAGTCTGTAGACAACAGGTGTATCTATAACCGTTTCCTCTGAGGTCGGTGTATTGACTGTACATGAGGAAGGCGACCATGTGTCACATGCAGCATATACTGTGTCAAGGTTCCCATGCATTTTATTGGAAACTGTTCTTGTGTTTCATGATCCAAATTTACCCCAACATTTTTACAAATAAACACTTAGGGAAACAAACTCTCAGAAAACCCAAAACCAACAACTCCCCAAACACAGCGACGACGAGGACAAAACAGGTGTTGTTTAATATCCTTGTTGTTTTGGCCAACGTGTCACGGACGGTTGTAATCAGATTACATTCAGCTGTAAACAGTGTAATGAGGCCTGTTATAAGTCGTTAGAGTACATTTAAAGCACAGGTTACTGCACCGTTTTTACTTCCTTTGTTTCTCTGATGAAACGTAGACCACGTAGACCAAACGTGTGACAGTCACATTAGACTGTAGATAAGAAACGGACGCAGTCATCACAATGTGGCAGCAAACAGCAGATCGCAGAAATAAAGCCGCAATATAAAAATAAAAACGGAAAAAAATGTAACAAAAAAAAAAACTCTAACAAAAAAATATCAACCCAAAACATATTCAAGTTATTTAAAAAAATAAAACAATAGTTGACTCGAGGGCTCAAAGTGTTTTCTTTGCAAAGACCAAGTAAAGCCAAGATGCAGCTAAAAGTTAACCGAGCCATTTGACAAAGGTTAGTTAGAAAAAAACAAGGTGTCGCTAAGGAAAGAAAGGCAACATTTGTCAAAAATAGTTCAACAAAAAAGTTGTAAAAAAAAGTGTAAAATAGCAAAAAAAAAAGATTCAACTTAATACTAACCCAAAAATGTTGCCTAAAATATAGTATAAAAACAAACATCTCCAGTTAAAAAAAAAAGTTACTGAAAAATAAACCATAAAAAAAAAAAAACTAAACTAAAAGCCACGCTGATTTAACAACAACTAATGTAACAATAACTGGTGTTATTCATTAAAAAACAACTTCATTTTGGTCCATTTTTTATATACAGTCTATGGTTCAAACATTTCAGATTATTCATGGTCAAAAAGTAACTGAACAACCGGACTACTAGCTCCATACCCTGTTTGTCATAGAGAAAATGAAGGACGAATAAGAACTGTTAAAGAGAGTAACGTATCGCAGGGAGAGGGTCATCCTCGATAATCATCATCATCATCAATATATATTATTATTTAAATCATAAAAATGTAAATAACCAAATCTGCATTAATAATGTTGTCAATAACATTATAATATTTTATCTCTTCTAAACTGTAGCGTCTCTTCTTGATTGTTTTTTTTTCCCGGGGCACTTGTGATGGGCAAACATCTGAAAGTCAGGACATATTTTTGGAGGGTCTTTTGCATTTCAATCACATCTGCTCACACGCAGCATTGTCCTCGATGCACTGCAGCCAAATACACCACAAAAAGGTCAAACGAGCATAAGTAGATTTAAACAGCGCTCTAATAAACATTTCCACAGGTAGACATTTTTACAAACCCAGTTCTTTTCCCTGGACAACAAGCCGTCTGGCCGGTGATTTTTCCAGAGGGAAAATCATTCCTGGGTGGGGATTGCACTAGAGTAGATCAATCTGTGGCAGCATAAAAAGAGACCTCTCTCTCTCTCTTACACACACATTCACACACACTCACAATAACTCTTTTTGACACAATTGCACCTTCCTACTTTGGGCTCTTGGGCAATTAAATAGCAAACATTTGAAAGGACGGTTTCAGACTTTTTGCAGAGGATTGAAGGGAAAAAAAGTTCACCTCACATTGATTTTCCATTTACTTACTCTTTACTCTGTACATTTTTTGGAGGGGGGGGGGTTCTGATTAAGTGCAACATAAACAGGCAGTTTACTGAAGGTTATATGTTCTTCATAATAATACTGTGCTGTCTCCTTACTGTGTATCATCTGAGAGTATGACAAATGAGTGTGACTTCAACAACCCCACCGTGATGCCATTGGACGGAAGGACAGTCAGGCTCTGATCCAGAACTAAAGTCTCCACCCACATCTGGTCCAGTGCATCGATCCAGTCTGAACCAGGGTGGAGACTTCAGCTGAAGCCCTGCTCCGTCGCCTCCACCTGGGCTGTGGATCCTGTGGTCTGTGGTTCTGAGCTCGGTCCTCCAGGCCTACAGGCTTCACCAGACTCTGGTTGAGTCCCAGACAGAGGACTGGTGATGCCCAGGCTGGACAGGGCGTCCAGGGTGCCGTCTGGATCCAACATCATGTCGATGACTAGATTGGAACGGATATAAAAACACAAATAACCACTTATTAATTCCTCCATTAAATCACAACTTCAACCAAGACTGACCAGACTAGGACAATGTTGACGGATGTCTATGAATTGATCACAGAGAAGGTCATGTGACCATGAAGGAGGATCTAAGCAACAGGGTCTTAATGTTGTGGTTGTACTAGTCTTTATTATATCTTAATAAATGACCCTTTAGCCAACATTGGTGGTGTGTGTGTCTCTCAAACACATGCTGCAATTTTTCAAGCCTCCAGATGATGGCGCCTGAGAGTGAGTGAAGTCGACTGTGGTAGAAAGTCTTCCAGAAACCAGAAGAGGACAAAGAAGGAAATGGCTAGCTGGCTAACCAGCAGTTGACGTCTCACTTATGTGCTGTGTTTGTACTGTGGTTCTACGATTGTGATTGCCTGAAAAATGTATGGGGGTGGAGTGGGGGTGGTGGTCAGTGGGTGTGGTGGTCACCTGTTTGTCAAGGTGCATCAGATCCCTATAGCCCCTGTGCAGAGCAGTATGTACTTTGTTTTACAGTTTTATTAATTTCACATGAACTGCTATGAACTCTCATAAAACAGATTCAATTTTGAATGTCTTTACAAATAAAGACAATGTGATCAAATTTACTGCGATATATTGATTATCGCAGAATCGCCATATTGTGATATTATAGTTGACGTGGGCAAAACATCACGATAGTATTGTATGACAAGGTGCCTGAAAATACCCAGCACTATTATAAGTCTTGTTAAATAAGGCAGGAACATCTCAGTGTTTCAGAGTAAAACAAAAAAAACATGTTTGGCTGCAGACCAGTGAACATCACAGTAAATCCTGATGAAGGCTCACACACCTAACAGCTGCTGTTCCACTCTCTTCAGGTCTTGAATGATGGTTGAAATCTCCTGTGGAAAGAACAAAACCAAAAAATGATCACCAGCAGGATTCTTTTACAGAATAACAAAAGGCTCATTTTAAAGGAATAAAAGTTTTTAGTAAAAAAAATGGTCCGTTAACACATTTAAACTAAATTTAAATTTGATTTATTTTTGACAGCAGAGCTAACATAAGCTACAACAGTCCTGGTACAGACAAACTATGTACGCAGGTAATTGGGTTAAGAGCAAAAAAAGTCTCCAAATACATTTTGGATAGGTTCCCGCTAACTAATTGAGAAGCTAACATGTTCCTCACCTTATTGGAGCTCTTCAGTAACAGTGAGTCGTGTTCTGCCTGCAGTTTGTTTTCAATCTCCTCCCACTTACGTTCTCTGTCTTTGAAGAGGATCCTGGAGGCCAAACAAGTTCCACAAATAAATTACAGACAAGAGATGTAATAAATGAGATAATTTAACTCTGAGTTGTTGACAACTTTTGGTCACCGGCAGGTAAACATATTTTGGCAGGACAGAAATGAACCATAAATGTGTTATAAAATAAAACACTTCAAACAATCTGTGTTTCTGTAGATGAAAAGTACCAAATACTGCAGCTTTGTTCACACACACACAAAAAATCATACAATTAAACACAATTATACATTTAAATCCTTGCCCAGCAATAGTGAATACTTGCTCAGAATGGGGAAACGTAAACGTATAGAACAAAACCATGTCCACGTCACTGCATAAACCGTACGCTTTAACAGGTTACAGAACATGAGTTTTGCTGAGACTCACCTGATTTTACAGGCGGTTTTCTCCACAGACTGTCGTATCCTGCTGGACATTTGAGTCACAGACGCTAGCAGTAAACTGTCCAACACAAGCTGAGGAACACCAGTAGCGACGTCAGAAGTGGCCGAAGTCACGGTGTTTTAGAGAGAAGCAAGAAAAGCACATAGCGGATGGCATCAAACAATAATGCTGCGGAAACTCCATGTCTCGAGTGAGCATGCAGCTAGCTCCCTCTAGTGGCTTCTGTGCCGCACAACTGGCTACTGTGGTTATTGTTCACCAACGTACAAGAAGAAATTACCTTTTCAAAATAAAGGAAATATTACAGACACCGCCAACACCCCATGGGTCAATTTCATCAAACCTTTTTTATTAAAATTATTTTAACTATTTAACGTTTTTTTGAATTAACTGCAATATTTACAATATTAATTTTATTTTGCTATCTGTAAGCTAACATTAAGCATGCAGAAGAAAATTTGTGTTTAAAGTATAACAGTTCTTGTTTGACTTCTCACTATTTTGTGTATTTCGTCACATTTGTGGCATTAATTCACATTTAAGTTTTTTTTTGTTTGTTTTTTTTTTTGCTTTTCGTGGCTAAGTTGCTGCTCTTATTTAGGCTTACTTTATCTTATCTTTTAGACAATCTTAGAGCTATTCTGCCAAACCTGAAACAATTTTGTTTCATAAATTTAACATCTTTAATTTTACTTTACTGAAATGTACACATACCATTATTTTTTACATTTTTGGATCAAACACTTTTGTTCAGCATGCTAACATTTATCCTATAATCCCTTTCCTAATGTAAAAAAACAGAAGGAGGAAAATATCTGTAGTTTCAACTCAGCTGTGCTGACTGTGGAGATTCAGACTCACATCCTCCCTGTTCCATGTCTGTCTGCGGATGGAGCGTGAGCTGTGACCGTGAGAACCCCGGGGTCGCAGCTCCACAGACTGTCCGTTTGTTCCCACAATGCCGCTGCCCTGCTCTGTGGAGATCCCATCAACGACCCTGCTGTCGTCGAATACACCCTCCTCCAACTAAAACAGATTCACAACCAGTCAAACCATGCGTACAAACTGTTTGTCTTCATTATTGTCTTCACTCAGGATGGTGTTGTGTCAGGTTTAATTCAAAATAATTTATGTTATATAATAATAATTTCCTCCAGAAGTTTTACCAGAGCTCCAGGATCAGTGGCTGCAGGACTGACTGAGTCGATCTCTCCTGCCACATCGTGGATTTCTCTGGCCAGCATGGCCAGGTCTTTGGCAAGGTCTTGACTAATCCTAATGAATAGAAAATCAGAAATCATAAGAAAAGGGAATGGACTAAAAGAAATAATATCTATTTTTTGTTGCAGATCTTTGTCTCTGCAGATTTCAAATAAATATATAATAATACTTAATACTTCATTCATAACAAGCTAAGCTGAGCATGCCAGAGCTTCCGTGGTATGACACACTCTGCTGCCCAATAATGGTACTGCACCATCAGAGCCATTTTTGGGTACAAAACACACTAAAATAAGATTAGATAAATAAAAAGAATAGAAAAACTTAAACAAAAAAAAAAAACAAATCTAAGAAATAACAACTAGAGTGTTTATGTTCAGTTTTCTTGAAAATATATCGATAAAAAAACAAAAAACAAAACATATCTACTATAACCAGCAGTACAGCCACAGTCCAGGACTGAGTCATGGATAGGGGCATTGTTGTGTTTATTGTCTATTATTATTTACTTTGTTTATTGTTTTAAAGGTTTTTTTCGCAGAAGCGCCCCCTTCTGGGGGTTTCACCCTGGTGCATTTCCTTATGCAGCCTTTCCTGTGGCAGATTCTGCAGAAGACCCCTCTTTTTAATGAACTCACCAGAGACCACTGGTGGCATTACAGTAGGTGTACCTAATAAAGTGGCTGAAACACTGCACCTCCCTCTATCTTACCTGGCTATTTCCTCACTGTGTGCGGTCCAGTCTCTCATGTACTCGTCCTGTTCTCTGCAGTGCTGCTTCATACCCACGGGGTGAGGAGTGGCAGGAGCTGAACCTCCCAGCTGGGCGACTCGGGTGGACAGAAAGGGCTGCGTGTGGCCCTGCTTGACCATGTGGCGGTTAGAGCCGTACTCGTCCTCTGAGGTGGAAGCATAATCCACAGGAACACGGCGCCATCTACTTCCAGCTAAGAACAGATGAGTTGTAGAGTTTAGGCAACGTGGAAGCTCAGCTCAGATGATAACATTTAAAAGTGTCCACCATCTAAATGACCAGAGATCAGAACTGTGAGGACAAATGTTGGAGCAGATTTTGAAAAAGCACATTCTAAAAATATTAGATTTCATTTCTATAACATGAGAACATCAGGGTAAATGTTATTAGTTTATTACTTTTTTACCAAAGGCTGTGGGTGTTTAAAAAATCAAGGAAATTCATGAAGATGATTTTCTCAGGGTGGCTTACGAGGTCTCTGTGATTCAGGTTCCTTGCCCCTGACCACTAAACTCAAATTGAAAAAAATAATTTCTACATTGTGTACAAACCTTTCCTTCCTAACTCAAACTCCCAGAACAGCAGTAGGTCTGCACTCCTCTTAGTGCTTGGGTTTAAATAGTACTTACAGGCAGGCATGACAGGTCCATAAGAAGAGCTGCCTTTACTCTTGTCAGGCAGCTTGGAGGCGCTGTTGGCCCTGGCTCTTGGTCCAGACATTGGTGGTGCGCCTGATCCCCTTAGTCCTTGTCTGACAGCAAAATCTCCCGCCACGCTCCGGGCACCCAGACCTCGACTCCTGGTCACAGTCGCCTCTGAGTCACTCTGGGCTGACGGGGAGCTGACCCTTGGCCTCCGCGGCTGAGCCAAGGCTTCAATCCTGGACATTCCTCTCTTAGCCATCCCTGTCCTGGATGTGGAACTGGCTGTGGAGGCCTCCGAGGCCACTGACATCCGGTCCAGGTCGGCAGGCTCCGTGTCTGATGAGTCCCCGAGGCGAGCCCTCCTCAGCAGAGACGCTCTGGTGGGTCTGGGTTTGGGGACACTGGAGGTTTTAGAGGTTGCCGAGGGGGCGGGGGGCTGAGTGACCTTAGCCCGACTAGACTTTGTGTTTCCAGCCACCGTGGTGGTACTGTGCTGAGCTCTGGTACGTGAGCTTCTGGACACGGGCTGTGGGTCTGAAAGCAGAGAGCTGGAGTTAAGGTCGTCGTCAGTGAGATCCTGGGAAGTCCAGCGACGGCTTGGTGGTGGCGGAGGACAGGATGTCTTGGGTTTTGCCCTCTTGTCCTGGGCCTCTCTGCTGCCTGTTGGCCCCTTACTGGTGGAACACACCACTGTTTTTTCCTTCTGCGGCCCGGCCAGGGTCCTGCGTCTCTGGACCATTTTTCTGGCGCCCTCAGCCTGGCTTACTGTGCTTGTTGTGTCCACATCAGACTCAGGAGACAGGGATCCTTCAATGGACTGACTCGGTGGATCACCTAAATCTGAAACAGTGTTCTCCAGAAAGGCTGCCACGGCCTCCAAGTCCTTCTGCAGCGTGGAACTGTCCGTGCCTGTCTCTCTGCTCTGAGCTCTGCTGCTGGTCAGTCCATCGATGCGAGGTATGAGCTCAATGGGAACGTTGGAACTGGGTTTCTCCACCGTAAAACTCTCCTGTCTCAACAATGGCTTCCCACCTGTCTCTCTGGCCTTCTCCTCCTCTTTTTTCCTCCTGCGGGCCTCCTCCATCCTCTTCTCTCCACTGGTCAGAGGACGAGGAGGAAGTTTAGTCAACGGCCCTGACTGACCCGACCTCCCACCACCGCTGTCCTGGGATTTGGCCGGAGAGGAGCGACTGGGGCTGTGACCGGATCGATCTTTTCCTCTGACCCTCTTCTCCTCCCGGCTCTCCTTCTCCTGCAGTTCCATGTCCTGTTTTTCTCCCACGTCTGTGCGCACTCCCGCGCCTGGCGTCCTACGGCCAAGGCTGACTTCCTCAGCAGGGAGCTGAGGCAAAGTTCTCCTCCTT